AAGAAGAAGAAGAAGAAGAAGAAGAAGAAGAAGAAGAAGAAGAAGAAGAAAAGGGGTTGAAGATATAAGGCCCTAAACTAGTTTTTGCTATCAGCAATTGGAACTTTATTTCTTTAGTGAACTTTGGTTGAAAGCACCTGGTTGCAATAGCTTCCTTTAGGTATGATGATATTTCAAAAGAGGAAAACTATATTGGCAATGGAATAGTATTCTTATCAAAATTCTGTATATGTCATCTTAAAAGTGAACACCACTGAGTTTGGTGGAGGTCCGATTCAGAATTTAGTCTGAGTTAGTCCCAGATAAACTTACATTGCTAGAAAAATTACCCACTTTCTATTTGAGACCGTAATTTTCTCAGCTTTGTGCTCTTTCTATATCCTAAGATACCAACTCTCAGAACTCTTCGTCACAATGACCCTTGGGAAAGGCTACCATAAAAAATATATATACATATCTCAACAGCTTGTGTGAGTTTCAGAACACTTCTTCTGAATCATTTTCGAGATGTGGGTAGCCTTCCTAAATATTGCAATAAAAAGAATGGTAGGCAATGAAACACGTCACACATCCATTCTCATTAGCCTCACTGCAAACAAAATGCAGATGTTGCATTTCCTACCATTGGGGGTCAAGCTGAAGGCGGATTTTGCAAAAATGGCATTGCAAAGTCGGGGTTGAGGGGGCAGAGGGAAGTCAGGAATGCCAACCAATTGGCTTCTGCTAGCCTCACAGGCATATCAAATAAGCTCTTGTCCTGGCAAATCAGAAACAGTGGCATCTTGCCACATAGAAAGCCATGGAAGGGTCACTGATGTGGAAGAGAGGAGGAGAGGAGGAAGAAGTGGAGGAGGTAGGAGGAGAATTAGTAGGAGAAGGAGAAGGAGGAGGGCATTTTGGCAGCCTCCAAAGAAAAGTGTTGCCAGAGGTGCCATATAGCAATTATATTTCTCTTATTTAAACACAGACATTAATTCACAACCTATGAGTAGTATTATCTTAGTGGGATTCAGAGTGAAGTTCACACAGACTTAAGGAAATCTTATTCAAATAAATGATTTGTGTTAGCTGGAATATCTGTTGTTATGGGGTTGCTATGGGGATTTATGTAATTGGCTTTTAGGTTGCTATGGTACCTAATATTTAAAAATACATTTTTTTAATGTTCATCAAGGTTCCTCCCCCCATCATCATCCCAGTTTCCCATCATCCCCTCCCCTCCCCCACTTTATCAGATCTGTTGTTTTTCAGCTACTTGTTCCCAAACCTACTGGAAGCTGTTTTGTTTGGTCCAGAAATTGTGACAGAAATTATTATTCATAGTAATCTCATTTCCCCCCCCCTGAATGTTGCATAACAGGCAGTGCTCAAAGACAATTCAAATACCATCTCTCGAGAATGGAAAAAGGTAGAATCTGGAAAGAGATGGGCTGAAGAAAAGGCAGGCAATTTTCAACAAGGAACATATGCCATTCTTGAGGGAAAACTGGAAGAGCTCATCAGGTGTAAAACTGAAGCAGGACAATAGATATTTGCGAGGGAATTTGCTATACAGTAAAAGAAAGAATGCGGATGACATGCTTTGGCTTGAAAGTCAGAATTTTCTACATATATTCTGATTGTTCTAGGACTGTTCAATCTCAAGACACAGGGAAAACAGTTCGCATATTCTAAAGCAGTGGTTCCCAAACTTTTTCAGTCCACCGCCCCCTTGGTGCTACAAACTTATCCTCAGTGCCCCCCACCCAGGGGTGGAATTCAAATTTCTTAACAATTTGTTCTGTGGGCGTGGCCGAATTTGTAGGCGTGGCTTGGTGGTCATGTGACTGGGTGGGCGTGGCTTGCTGGTCACGTGACCAAATGGGCATGGTTTGGTGGTCATGTGACTGGGTGGGCACGGCCATGTGGCCATGTGACTGGCAAATTAAATATAAGTGGTCCTCACTTAATGGCCGGTTGCTTAGTAAATGTTCTAACTTATGACTGACCTCCCCAGAGCTACTTGACCTGTTTTTGGAGTTTTGACAGCCATGCGCACACACACACACACACACACACACATACACACACATACACACAAAAACAAGTAGTTTTTCAGCTACTTGCTGGAGCAGGTGATTGGACTAGATATCTCATTCACTTTCTCCTCCCTCCCTCCCTCCTTCTTTCTTTCTTTCTTTCTTTCTTTCTTTCTTTCTTTCTTTCTTTCTTTCTTTCTTTCTTTCTTTCTTTCTTTCTTTCTTTCTTTTTCTTTCTTTCTTTCTTTCTCTCTCTCTCTCTCTCTCTCTCTCTCTCATTCCCTCTCTTTCTCTCTCTCTTTTCCTCTCTCTCTCTTTCTTTCTGTCCCTTCCTTCCATCCCCCCTCTTTCTTTGCCTATCCCTTTTCTTCCTTTCTCTTCCTTTCTCTCTCCCATTTTCTTTCTTTACTTTCTTGTCTGTTCATTCTCTTTCCCTCTCTTTCTCTTTCCCTCTCTCTCTCTCTCTCTTTCTCTTTCTCTTTCTCTTGTTCCCCCACTCTCTTTCCCTCTCTCTCTATCTCTTCCTTAATCTATCTACCTATTTTCTGCGCAGGCAGGCGTGGCCTAATCTGTCAAAGACCTGGGCTAATCCTGCATCACCCCGTTTCCCCTTTCAGAGGCCCCGGCCCTTAATCTCCCTGTTTCCTCTCCCACGACCTCCTCTTTCATCATCCCACAGCCGTGACTTTACCTTCCTCCCTCAGCTGGCTGCCAGGGAAGGCAAGCCAGGGCTGAACCAGTGTTGTTGCTGGGCTACCCGCCAGCCCATGTCGCCCTTGTCATGAATGCCTGCAGACACCTTTTTTTTTTTTTTGATGCAGCTGGACCAAAAAACCCCCACGCGGTGTCTGGAAATTTACCGACCTCTGGCTTTGCTCTGCTTCCCCAATGCGCTGCTACAGCCGCATTCTAGGTGCTGGCCCCACAGGTCCACCCCATTGAGCCGGCTGCACCGGAGGGACTTGCCCAAGCAAGTCCGAGTGGAGTGGTGCAGCAGTCAATGGGATGAGCCTGCATGGCTGGTGCCTGGAATGTGGCAATGGTGGTACATTGGAGAAGCAGAGCAAAGCAGGAGGTTAGTAATTTTCATTGCAAAAAACCTCCAGAGGCCGCGAGTCCAGCTGCACTGAAAAAAAAAACACGGCGTCTGGATGCTTTTTGGAGCAAAAATTACTTACCTCCGATTTTGCTTGCTCCGCTTCTCCAACACGCCACTGTCAGCGATTGTTGTGTATTTGTGTGATGTCATGCATGCACAATAAGAACTGACTGGGCAGGGAACGGAGGAGCAGGTGGAGAGGAGCAGGGCCAGCCAGGGGCCTGTTTTACCAGTTCTCCAAACTACCGGGAACGGCAATGAACCGGTAGAATCCCACCCCTGAATTGCGAGGGTCCCACCTCCAGCGCCCCCCCTGCCACCTCTTAGTGCCCCATGCCAGCCCCCTTGCCTCTTAGAGCCCCCCTAAGGCATCCCACTGCCCCCCAGGTGGCATTCAGCTTAATTTTCCAGATATATTTTTTTCTTTAGAGAAGATGTAAAGGATTTAGAATTCAGTCCTTTTATCATTCCTTTTTTAAGGCATACTGAAGGGATCGAGATAGTCTGGAAAGTCTTTTTAGCCAACAAATATTATTTATCATTCATAAAAAAAAACCTTACATAGTTCTCATGAAATAGAATGAAAGCATTAAGTGAAGTTGGATCTCCAGCAAACGGCGGACTTTGCTGAAAGACAGATCTGGCCTGATGCCCAACTCCCTCAGTGGGTTGTAATTTCAGAATAAATTCTTGTACTTATCAAAGTCAGGACAAACGACTGAATTTGTGTTGATAGGGAAGCTGGTACAGCACAGTTTGTACATTTGGAACAATCTTATTGCAAGAGGACACTGGAACAGGACTGCAACCATATCAGCTGCCAAAACTATATCCTAATCAGGAAAAACATGGCAATTTAGATCAGTTGCAAGTTGTTTTTAAAAACAGCTTCAGAAATTGATACCATGGTGAATTAATGAAATAAAGATCAAGGCAGGGAAGTGAACAAAACATCCTTATAAGATATGTAGCATGTTTTAGATGTTTCAAGATTGAAAGAAACTGTCCGCAGCCAATTACCACATGCTCTTTATCTCTACTTCACTTATTCAAGAACAACCCCATCATCTTTCTTTGACAATGCACACAGTTCCAGACGAGAGCAAGGAAGTCTCTTTTCCATCCACATTCTGGAGATTGAATTGAATTGAATTCTTTATTGTCATTGTACGTATATGCACCGTATGCGTACAATGAAATTCACATAACACCCAGAGACCAGACCCAACACGCACACACACATGATAATCCCCAAACACCCACCCACCCACCTACCAAAATCCCCCACCTCCTAAAAACACACAAGCACCCATACAACAGACCAAGTAATACTGTCCAACAGCTCACTGATGGTGCTCCTTAAGTTCATTGTTAAGTGCAATTATATCACAGGGATATGCATTAGGTCAAAAATTTTAATCCAAAATCAAATTCTGGATGTTCGATAGTTTCAGGCATGGTTATTATTTTTTGTTTAATTCTTATTTTTTGCTGAAGTTTCATTTGCGCCATTAGCATCGTTAAATTACAAAATTTTGGTCCCAAGACCATGGGAATGGTGCAACAGCTGTAAGTGCTGTTGTAACTTTGAATGGTCACTAAACGAACAGTTGAGAATTACCTGTGTTTTAGAAATCCCTGCTCTAAGCAGTATCTGGAGAGTGTCCTTGAGACCTGAGCATTGCAATGTATGATAGATCCAAGGCTCTGGAATAAATAGATGAGCACGTTTGGATTAGTCGCTATTGTATAGAGTTGTTTTAAACCAGGGGTGTCCAACCTTGGCAACTTTAAGACTTGTGGACTTCAACTCCCAGAATTCCTCAG